CAAACACTTAAGTCCTGATCTGGGGGAACAATTTCACCCTGAACTGAATGCAAAGCATTTCAGGCTGCCACACATTTAATATTGTATAACCTGAGTACAGATTTGCATGTAATAGTATAGAAATGTGGGCTTAATATTGAAGGGGATATTAGCTCACAGCTTGTAGACTTGTATCTGTGTTAAGAAAAATTGTCTCTGTTTCTAGACTTTTATGATGATTTACAGCCTCCTTTTATATTTTTTATTTATCCTTGTAACTGTAAGGTTGTTTTTTCTTAAATATTACAACTACAAATAGGTAAGCAGCAGCCAGGGAATACTGAGAACAGTTATTTTTAGCATTTTTTAAATTATAAAAATAGATATTTAAAGTAATAATGTCTTTAATATTTATTTTAGATATGCTATAAATATAGTGTTTTTAAAAATATATATTTATTTCTGTAAAAATGTAGAATTACACCTTGAAGATAAGAGATAAAGATGTCTCATCCTGACTTCTCTTTTTCACAGTTCCTTGCAGAACAGATTTGATTCTTTTATCCGTTAGTTGGTTTATTTAGGTCATGTAATTCTTATCTAGATTCTTCCATTTGGGGATTATGCATTGAGATAGACTTAGAAAAAAACTGCACATGGGTCCCAGTTAAAAGTCAAGATAGCACATAGAGCAGGGTATTTTTTGTTTATTTAGGCAGAGCAGAGTAATTGCTTTTTGTTCCATACACAGCAGTGCTATCAGTGCAGTTCACAATGAACAGTTACACTTTTGTGGCAGTACGACATTGTTGACCCCAGTATTAGAGAGCTGCTATTTCTTTCTCCATTACTGCTGCTTATTTTGCTGCACTTGATGTCAGTTTTGGAGTATATTACTTTCTGCTTTATTAAATATTGTTGATTTTGGGACCTCTTCCTAATCGGCTAAGGTCAGAATTCAAAATTATCTTGACCTTCTAAATTCTTGCCTCTCATCTTTGCTTGTTTTTGTGTGCTCATTTTGTAAGCATAATCCACTCATTTTACCAGGTTGCTAATGGAAATACTATTATCCTGGGAATGAAATAGACTAATCTACATGTTTCATTATCATCCTTCAAAACATTAATTACAATTGTATTTGAAACCCCCTTTAAACCAAAGTTTGTGGCAAGTGGCCACAGCTTTCTGCACGCTAAGTAGGGCAGAGGCTGTGCTCCTGCCCCACTGAAGTGTCCCATGGCACCATCTCTGGACAAGAGTTGAGAAAAGCCTGAGAAAGAATTAACCAAATTGAATTGCATTCAGTTGGGACTGAAATCTGCATTTCATTCAATGTTGTGTCAATGAGGCAGGATTAATAGGAACTGTTAATTTGTCAAATATCTCAATGCAGTTTCCTCTTGCACAATGATTCTATGAGAGAAACTTGCTTGATGACCATTCTGTCTAACACATGAATGTAGAAAGGACTCAGTCTTGGTGTGTTAGAAACTTTATAACATCTAACAAAATTTGATGATAATTTGCTTGGAAGGATTATAGGCTTGTAATTTTCCTAAACAAAGTGGTTATAAGCTTCCTCCAGGAAGGACTTAGCACGGTTCCCTGAAGAGACACAGGTTACTTTTAAAAGCAAGCATCTGCTGGTCTACTTATTGAAACTAGTTTTGGTATGAACAAAAATACATGCAGTAGCCCTGTGGAGTTATCTATTAATTATTTTGTATTTTTATTGAGTATGTCATAGCATATAAGTGGAGCAGAGTGGGGGAAAGCCCTTTGTTTTTCTCTTTTTTTTTTTTTTTTTTGTAAACTACTGTTTTCTATCCCCTATGGGAGAGCATTTTAAGCTGTCTTGGGATTTATGATACACAAGGATACAGAAAAAAAGCAACCAGTAACCTCAGCTCAGGGCTGTCTTTCCATATAGGCTCTCCCTAGTAGTTTGTATTCAGCATAAATAATTTTTTTCTGCACGGATGGGTGTTCAACTCCATGCAGGGAACTGGACAATGGCATGGCCAGCACTCAAGAAGGATTTATAACCTCTAATTTCTTATCTTCTCCTGTTCAGGTTCTTTTGTGGATAACTTCATTTTGAGACACTGCTGCACAAGAGAACTTTTGTTTTCTTTCTGCTGTCCAAGCTGTAGACCTTGACTGAAAAGCTGCCTTAGTTCTGTGCTAAGAAAAGTCTGAGGGAAAAGAAAGTCCATATTTAAATCACATAATGCTTCCCAAACCCAGCCATTTTACATTGCAACTTGAAGATGTTGATGTTGTCTGTTGCCTGTTTTGTGGTGTTTTCCTTGGCCCTTGCATCTCTGTGGGGTTCTGCTGTAGTTGTGGGGACTCTGCCTGTCAGCCCTGCTGTGGGTGCACATCCTGCCTCAGGCTCTAATAAGTGGTACAGGGGAGCCTTTTTGTACTGCCTGACAGAGAGTGGTGCAGGAATAAATGATCATCTGTATTACTTGGCACTCATAAGTCAGGAGGATACTTAGGTTCTAATTCTCCTGCCGTTGCTTGATGGAATGTTACATCAAAGAAGAGAAAAATAGTGTTTGGGTTATTTTGGCCCATTTCTAAAGCAATCAAAGGAATGTTGTTGGTACTGCTTTTGTGCATCTGAGTTTGAGCAAGCTCAGTTGTGATCCTGTGTTCTTTGTTTTTAAATGATCCTAAAATTTGCACTGTTAAAAATTCCAGACAAATTTTCTAATCAGTTCTCCAGTTTGTTGTAATGTCTGATACTGAAGATATGGAATAATGGTCCAAAAGCATTTATAAGGGTTCTATTTTATTCCTATTCTGTCTTGAAATACTTCAAAAAAACAATCAAGATAATAAGTGTAGAAAAGGACTTGATGTCCATAAATTATTTTCCTGCTGCTGGAAAGTGTTGTGCAACTCTTGTCTGTACGGTAGCACTACTGTATTATTTGGTAAATCAAACCTCATGATTTTTCAGTATGCTGTAATTTAGGAAAAGAATCCCTACATTTTTGAAATTCCTTTTGCGTTGAGGCATAACATACTCATTTTTCCTTTTTCTAAATCAAAAGGCATTCCACACTTAAATAATGCATATTCTTATTTGTTGATTGCAACAAATGATGATCCCTGAGACAGGTGAAAGGGGATATTGGGATAAAAGCAGTCAGTGTGATCATGTGATTGTTTCACTTAGACTGTTCTTGCTGGTTTTGTTCATATTCTTGTTTTCATGCTTTGAATTCATGATGTGTTTTTGTTCAGAGTAAAACAAAGAAAGAAACTTCTTTTTTTCAGTGTGAACTTAAAACAAGCTTGTAGCTGTTCAAAGTACAGGCAGTGTTTATTGTAACGTTGGTATATTTCTGGGTGTCTGGAAGAAGAAGCCTAAAATAATTCTGTTCACAGACTTTGAAATAAAATGAGTTTTTCTGCCCTGACGGATTCTTTTTTCCCTTTTTACAAGACAGATAAATACTAGCTTTCACTGAAGGAAGATATTATATGAGGATGTATGTGTGTCTACAGCTAAATGGATATATTATGGTCTATAATATGCTGTGAGATTTCCTTTACAGTACCACATTAGCACTCAAAAACATTTGTCTGCTTTTAAATTTAGGTGATAAGTATTTTGAAATTCTAATAGAATGGAAATAAATATTTCTGTATTTGCAGGGATTTTTCCTGCTTATTTCTCTCCTGACCATTTTATTGTAAACTTGAAGGGATAGAGCAAAATGACTGAGTCTTTGGCAAAGACACAAATCACTGACTTGAAGATACTGAAATAAGAGAAGGCAAAAGGTTTTCTGCAGAATACCAATTTTTTCTCCCTAGTGTAGACCACAAGAACCATGTGGGAACCATGTGGGTGTTTTGGTGCTTGTCATCAAATAATTTGTATTTCTAATAACAGCAATTTTTCTTATACTTTCTAAGAGAATGTTTTTGATGTTCTTCAAAGTCATGGCATAGGACTGCAGTGGGTTAGGGGTGCTACAGCTTGAGTGATGGGGGTCTGGGACAGCTGCTTGGATTAGAGTGAGAGCTGATTGCGTGTTTGCACATGTGGCCTTAGTGTAGCTGATTCCCCGATTCGGGGATCTTGTTGAAAGTCGAGCTGGATGTGCAGGCTCAGTGCAGCATGGGCCCAGCAGGGCTGAGCATGGGCATGGAGCAGGGCCGGGGGCAGCTCTGGCTCTGCAGGTCGAGGGCAGATTTGGTATGGCCTCTGGACCCTGCAGTGCAGGAGGAGGAGGAGGTGGGAGCTTTTGTTCAGAGCCTCTGGAGTTTGTGGCCCACTTTGACTCTGTGTGGTGACATGCTCTTCTCAAGAAGCTTGTGGATGCTTAGGCACTGTTTGCTTAGAGTGGTTTTCAGTTTGTTCTGAAATAATTGGAGTACTAGGGTTGGTGCTTCTGTCATCGTTGACCATAATGTTATTCCTCTGGCTGTACCAATGAGTGACAAATGTGTTGTTACATTTCTGTAATGCAGAGATTAAAGTGTTGACCTTCTTTTCAATTCCATTGAATGCAGTTTTTGTAGTATCCTAGAGACCAAAATGTTTAAATCTTTTCTCTCCAAAGCACAGTTTGCTATGCTGTTTGCCAAATAGACACTTGCACCCAGAAGCAGGTAGGGTTTTGAAGAAGTGCGGGTGAAGTTGTTGACTTTTACCACATAGCTTTAAGAAACTGAAGACTGCTTAGATAAAGCTCTGATAAGTACTTGGGTCACAAATTGAAGGACTGAAAGTTAAACTGAATTTATAGGGGATTAAATGAAATTAGTGTTTTTTCAGAACACTTGTTTTGTGGAGAGACAAATGAAATCAAGACATCAGAAATCCATCTTAAATCTTCCCCTAACTATGAGTGTTAAGAAATAAGTATTCAGAACAATTGTCATTAATTATATTGTCTAGAAAATCTATGGGGTTTTTTGCTCATCACAAAAGTGCTTTTTTGGCTGTAATTACGATGAAGTGGTTTTTAGTTTTTATTTTTTGTTTCCCATAGGTGGCTGCTGCTTTAATGCAATAGTGTCATTAGCTTGCTGAACACTAAACATGAGAATAGCAGGTAAGTATGCTCTGTAAAATCAGACTTTGGTCATTTATGAAACAACTGCTGTGGACAACATGAACAAGTTGTGACAATAAGGTTTTAGAGTCATAGAATACCAGGTTAAAAGGGATCTCAAGGATCATCTGGTCTGACATTTCTTGTCAGAAGCAGGATCTAGACAAGATAGCTGTGAAAAGTGAAATTTCCTCAAAAAAGTGAAATTTCCTCATGTGAAAAGTGGCAATTTCCTCAAACCTTTAGTGTTTGATTAGTCTGTCAGCACACCAGAAAAGCTGAGACCCTTGTGCCTGACTAATCTGTGTCCTGTTATGGGGACCCTTCAATGGACTTCCTTTTCATTTGGGTGGATCTTGAGTGACTCTGGTAATGCATACTTTTGTTACTCGTTGGTGTAAAATTCTCTTGCCTTGCTGTTAGAGATATAGTCAATAAAATAATAGTGCTCATGCTCAGTGAAGGGTGGTCATACATTGAAGGCAGGTAACTTTGGGATGATATTGTGAGTTAATAAGTTACAAAGAACCTCAGAAGAGTGATTTCACCACAGCTTCTGGTTTAGCAGAAGGATACCTGCTCCTATCTCCCTTGGCTGACAGGTGCTGTGCAGGTTTATCAGCTACCAAGTACCATCTGATTTCAACAGAGGCTGACCAACAGAGGCTGTTTCTAGTTTGCTTCACCTTTTAGCACGTGCTTGAGGTTGCAGATTGTGTCTGTATGGAATTGTTGTGGGATAGGTTTTGAGCATACTCACAGCATTCCATCCAGGAAGTAGCAGCTGTATTTTGACCTATAATTTTCATACTGCTATAACTTCCTCTAATTTGAGCCCTAGCCCAGCACTGTACAGCCAGATTTTAAAGTGGCCAGTGCTGGGGAGTCCACCACTTCCTGAGGAGATTATTCTAATGGCCGATTGTTCACATTGTGACAAATTTTCAGTGTCTAACTGGAATCTTCCTCACAATAACTTGTACCCACTATCCCTCTTGTTTTTCATGTGATTCCTTGCAAAAAGGGAGTCTCCCTCCATCTTCTTTGTAGCCAGCCTTGAAATACTGGAACATGGTACTAAATTCTCCTGTAAGTCTTTTCTCAAGGCTGAGCAAACCCAGCAGTCTCAGCCTTTCCTTATCCAGCAGGCTTACCAGTCCTTTGATTATCTTTGTGTTGGACTGTCTCTAGATTGTCCACGTCTTCGTCTTTTTTCTTTTTTTTTAATAGCAAGGTCCAACACTGAAGGGAGTGTAACAAGTGCTGTGCAGAAAGGAATAATGACTATTTCTGTCTGCTGGTGATGCCTCTGTTGATGCAGCCCAGCATCCTCTTGGCTTCTTTGCCAGCACCCTCCATTTGTATTGAGTTGGTTGTCTACCAGAATCCCCTAGTCCTTTTCCACAGCTGGGTAGCTTCCAGTCTGTTTTTTACTCCTGGATTATGATTTCTGTGGTGGAAGACTTTACACTTGTACTTGTGGAACTTCACTGGCAGTGTTAGCCCATTCTTCCAGCTTACCCAGGTGCTCCTGCAGGTTGGCTCTCCATTTGGACATGCCTCCTTCCACTCAGTTTGGTATCCTCATCAAACTTTGTCAGGGGACACTTCACTTGGCTGGCATAACAGGCATTGCTGTTCTACTTTATTGGTGTTTAATGGAACTCACTTTGGAACTGGGATGGTGGAAGAGCAATCACCTTGTTAAAATGCTGTAGCTGATCTGCAGTGACTGCTTAAGCTGCCATGACTTGACATATTTTGGCTGCTGTTTCTGTGAGATGATGAAGAAATAAGGAAATGGCAAATGGTTGTCTTAAGCCACTTCCCCACCTCCCTAAAATTGTTATGTGCTGTTTTAAGTGTCTGAAACTTTCTGAAAGGTTGCTGGGAGTTTGAAAACTCTTAAGAGCCTTTTCATAGAGTTAAGTTACTGTAGTACAGGCTTTAAGAAACTCATTCTACTTGACAGAAGGGATAATGGTTGTAAAAATAAGACATTTGCTAATATAAAATTAAAAGAAAACATTTTTTGACATTTTGTCACAGTAGAATAGCCTGTGTAGCAATGGAATAAATCTGAGTTTCTGGTGCATTGCACTTTTATCAGTAGTTACAGTGTTATTTTGCAGAAGGAGAAACCGTTGCCTCTACTAGAAGAAAATGGCACCTTTTCCAAGATCTTGTTAATGCATACAATTTTTGTCACTACTCCTAATTTTGCTTTATTAACCACAGTATGTATAACTGGAAGCAGTCTGCTAAAGTGAATCTGATAAAGAACTGGAAAATGCTCCAATTTTTGGGTACCTGATTCATCTGGAAAATTACTTTCCACACAAGTTTAAGGGTTTTTTTTTTTTTCCCCTTCCATCCAGCTATTTTTTTTGCTAAAACTGCAAAGTAGATATGGCAGTTCCTACAGGATGTTTCACCTGTATCAAACATGCCAGTTTGGTTCAAATGCTTAAGGAACCTTCTAGGAGATTTCTTACTGTTCCTTTGAAGGGAGCGCTTGCTGTTCAGTTGAAAAACTCAGAATATAGGGTAGGGGGGATGGTTGGTCCTCAGACTGAGTTCTTCTTCATCTCACATGATATATACTAAAACATGTTCTCCAAATGCCTCTTGCTAGATGACACATTCCAAAATCTGGTACCATCTTGTGGTTTTAAGCAGTGTTGCTTGGAAAACCTTTACCCCATTTCTTAACATATGTTCAGCTCATCTGTTTCTCCTGTGCTTGCACAGGTTTCCTTCCTTTCAAGTGCAGTGATCTTTGGAGTTCCAGCATAATATTTTTAAGCTAGGTTTGCACCTTTGTTTTCTTACATCATAATGTGTATGCACATCATAATGTGTGTGCTCGCACACAAAAAAGACCAAACTACAAGCAAAAAACCCTTGTATCTTTCTTAATCTTGCTTTTCTTTTTCTATCCCCTTATCTTTTTTCAGCCTTTTGGGAGGATTGATTAGCATCTCTCATCCTTCTCAAGGCTGAGTAATCTGTCTATTTTAAGATTTTCTGAGCAGCCTGTCATAGCAGCAGTCTGAGATCTGCAGGAGTATATAAGTTTGGTTTTTTCTAGAGGATTTGGCTGGCAATCTGAGGAAAAGAAGCACGCTTTAAGGTTGATTCTTCCAACCAGTTTGATATACTGTGGTGAGATAGGAAGGCAGGATGTTGATCAGATGCCTCCTCACCTGCCTTGTACTCTGCCAGTGTTTTTAGTCAGTATTTTACAGTCAGTTAAGAGTGGAGTGTTCTGTAAAAATGTACTGCAAATTATGCTAAAAATGGTGAGGTTTGTGGCTGTATCACATTTCCATTTCAGATGTAAGCTGCTGTGGTTGTGTGCACAGCTCTCCTCCCAGGAAGTAGTTTGGCCACTCAGCACTGCAGGAACTTAGCCCTGTAAAACTTAGAACTGCCTATTTCAGTATCTTAAAAGGGAGACAGGAGAGGTACTGCTTTTTCTTACTTATTTTAAAATAGGCTTTGAATCATCAAACTTGCTTTCTGAAGGTCATTAATGTACATTTCTTGAAAAGTAAATGAGAATGGTTGTTTCTGGTTGGCTGGTGGTTTGGGGGGTTTTTGTTGTTTTTTGTTTTGGTTTTTTGGGGTTTTTTTTTTTTTTTTGTTGGTTGGTTGCGTTTTTTTAATGTCACACTCAGAGCTGACTGACCATAGTAGCCAAGCTGCAGTACATAAACAGATCCCTAAGCACTCAGTCTGGGCCATATATTAAAACAAAGGTAGCTCCATTTGAGAGCAGGGGGAAACACAGTATTTGTGAACAGTGAGGAACCAGGTACTCATGGCTAAGACCATGCAAGTGGAATGGGGAAGATGGGAATTTTGCCTTCAGACAACAGCCAGGTCGATCATCTTAGTTCATTTGGTGAAGCTGGATTTTCATGGAAGTCTGGTTTCTCCTGGCTGCTGAGCTGAGTTGGTGTACTAAAGTGTCAGAGAAAGCATGAAGGTAGAGAAAGTTAAAACCCGAGTGCATTGCATAACCTGATGGATTGGTGCAGTTACATCCTACATTCCTACATTATAATATCCATCCATAATATCCATCCTGTTTAGTAGGTCCATAAATGATTGTCCTGTTTCCCCAGAGTGGAATCTGATACACATTTCTCATGTTGCTAATTTTGGTAAACTAATGTTACCATTTGCAGGTAATTTTTTGAAACATTTTCTGTTTCTTAACAGGTGCTGCAAAGTTGGTAGTAGTCATAGCAATATTTTTATTGACGTTTTATGTCATATCTCAAGTGTTTGAAATAAAAATGGATGCAAACTTAGGACACATATTTGGTAAGTGATGACTTTGTTTTCTCTGGACATTTATTAATATTTACTTGAGCCTTTATCAAGAATATCATGTTAGTTTTGCCTGAGCTCTTCAATTTAAAAATTGAATTTATCTTTCGTATGTGTGCTTATTTTTTTACATATAATATGTGTATTGAATTGTTTTCTGTATGAAATAATAATTTTGATTCTTTTGACTGCCAGGGATACAGAATTTTACCTGCTTTGTTTTGTTTTGTTTACTGGAAATGCATTCTTAGTGTAGAGTAATAAATTAGGCAACTTGAATCATGTTTCTAGAAATCTGTGCTCTTCCTTACTACTGCTGAAGAGATTTAGAACTTGTTTTGGAGGGTTTTTTTCTCTTGTGTTGGTATGCTACTGTGTTAAGTTGAATGTGCAGTAATCAAAACATTTCAGGTGTGCTACGCAGATAAAGATTAGAAGTTGAGATGTCTCAAATTTCAGAGTCTATTTTGAACCAGAATTTTCTTTCTAGGTGTTTTTTATTACCAAAAAAAACCCTAAACAGTGTTTGATACATAGGTGGAGTTTGTGTTCTTTAACTCTGGATTACTGCAGCGTGAGCTGCCATCTGAAGCAGTCAGCAGAGACATCTCTAGTAATCATTGCTGAGACAGAGGTGTCATTCAGGTGTCATTTAGATGTATGTGCGGTGGGAGCACTTCATATCTCAGGAAAGGGAGTCATGAATGGCTGGGTTGAAATACACCTGAACTGCAGGCTTCCAGTTTAGATGAGAGGAACCCCATCCCAGTGAAGTTGTAAGGAGAGAATTAATTCACTGCAATCCCCTGGACTCCATGAATTCTCAGAGGTTTTGGATCTCTGTGGATTTTTGACTCCACAACTCTCTAAGAGCCATAAATGAAAGCGTTGCTTCTGAATGAGATTCCTAATCACTTTCATTCTGCTAATGCATAAAAGTTGTTTTTTATTGCAGCATAATATTCAGGTGGATTTGATACTTCATTTCAACCAGCCTGTTTTTATAGGGGCACAGAAAGACTTTACATTTATAGGATATGATATAGCAGATGACACTTTAATAGTAACATCTTGTGAAACTTTCTTTTTTCATTTTAGCTAGATCAGCGTTGGATGCAGCTGCACGCTGTGAGTATTCATAGACATGTATTACTGCTGTGCCTTGCTTTTGCTAATAACAGAAAGACTGATGAATTTTCATAGTTAAAGTCTTAATTACACTTCAAATGCAATCAGAAACTAATTTTCCTCTTCTCCTGATTTTCCTAAATTTCTGGTAAAGTCTGTTTTGTAGTTTTGGCTTGTGGCTTTTGATGATGGTGCCAGAGCAAGCAGCAGGGTGACAACAAAAAGTTGGAATAATTAGGTGCTTCAGGAACTTAGACTATTTTAAACTGCTCTGTTACTACAGATGTGATGGTGTTTGTGTTTGCTCTCTTCCTTGAGTTCCTTCAGAATGTATTTGTCTGTTGGCCTACCTGTGGTGTTCTCTAAAATCTTGGTTTATTTCCTTTTGAAAGCTACAAAACCTCCAAGATACAAGTGTGGGATCTCTAAAGCTTGTCCTGAAAAGCATTTTGCATTCAAAATGTCAAGTGGAGCAGCGAATGTAGTTGGACCTAAAATTTGTGTAGAGGATAATGTGTAAGTATTTTTACCTGTTGTTTCTAAGTGTCTCTTTCAAATACTTAGATCACTTTGCACACAAAATCAGCAGTTTAAATGAAGGTTTTTTTGCAAACAGTATGTGAACGAACATGTGTCAAAGTTTGTGACGTGAAAAGGTCACATTGCATTATAACCTTATCTCTGATGAAGCACACTTACACTTCTGCATTTACTGCAGAGCATTATGTTGTTTTAACACATGCAAGGTAACTTGCACTTTGTTTCAGGTTTATAGACTTAAGGGTTAGTTAGACTGTCAAGTCACATGCACACTTGTCTCTAAGGAACTTGTCCTGGCGCTTCTGATAGCAATTCAGTGAATAATTGTATTGTCTTTTGCAAGTAATCTTTTAAACTATATTTCCTCAGTACCAACATCAGAACATATTTTCTACTTTCCTTCTAAGGTTGTCTTCAAAAATGAAAAATAGTATTTTAATGATTGAGAGTTATTTAACTGTGCTGATAGTAGCTAAAGTTAATAAACTTCATCCATTTGTGAAATGAGGAAAACAACTGCTTGAGACAAAGTTTGGTTTTGAGTCCTCTTTTTAATAATGTTTTTGACACAGTATTATCAGTAATACTGTGCATAAAGTATTTAACTGAGTACTTTTCAGTAAACCCCCGTAGTGGGAATATTAATATTTATTTTTAGACTGTGTTTTTCCTCTTTGGGTGATAATGAGCAGGAACAACCTGAGTGTGCAGCTTCCTATAACGTAATCTAATCCACTTGATTTTGCAGGTGGCATGTCAGAAGAGACATAATGTTAGTGTTGTTGGAAAGAGATTTTTTTAAATACCAGTCACACTTAACACTTTTGCTTTCCACTTGCTACTCCAGTTTAGCTGTTTCTCAGCTAACACTATATTAGTACAGATAGCACATACAGCAGTTGGTGCTAATGAATGCTAGAGCCAATGGCAGCTTCTGTGAACAGCAGAACCCCACATAATAAATAGGATAATACATGTATTTAAAAAAATCACTTTCCTCTCCAGAGTAACTGTAAGGCTAGTTTCTAGTGATCTTAAGAGAAGACTGTTTTTAGCACAAAGTAGCATTCCTGTGTAAGGCTGGCTTAGCTGAAGCTTGCTGGCTGGTGTGAGTCAGTTTGCAGCAGAGCATCCAGGGTAGCTGGAGAGCTGCAGGTGCTCAGCAGGGGCTCACCTGGGCACCCACGGGCTACAGGCTGCTCCTTCCCTTTCCACTCTCACAGGCTGCTCCTTCCCTTTCCACTCTTACTGGTGACTTGCTGGGTGACCTTGGGCAGGCTGATCTAATCTCAGCCTGGTATTTCTGCTGGTGTTACAAAACATGCTACTGTCTCATTCTGGTCGCTTAATATAGGGAGCTTAATATCTGTGAACACTTCAGCTGATTCAATGATTAAAAGTTGTGGGAATGCAAGTAATATTTTTAATTTCAGGATTGTAGGGTTGTTTTGCTTGGGATTTTTGCCTCTTTTTTGTTTTAATGTCTTGCTGACTGTTTAAATAAGGAAGAGGTTTTTCTATTTCTGTCCAAAAAAAGAAGAGCCCTCTACTAGATCTTTTTCTGAAGAAAGTGATGAAAAAAAAAGTACTTGCTGGAAAAAGTCCTATAAGTGGGCACTTCAGTACGCAGCTATTGGATTCTGAAGTCCAGCTTTCCTTGGCAAACATCTTTCTGAATTCCTTCAGAGGGCAACTGGTCATGTTTGTCAGTATCCACCAAGAAATTTGATTGATTTTAGATGATCTGCTTTGCTCATAAGAGGTTTTATTTCTCTTTCAAAAGCTCTCAATTTGCAGACTAAATTCGTGGAAGAATTCTAAAACTGATGAAGGGCTGCCCTCCTGTGAGAAGCTGTTGCATTGCAGCCTGTTGTGTTTGTGATGATGCACAAGCTGTCTCAAGGATATACAGTAATAAATCAGAGCTCTGAAAAAAATTTATTTCTTCTTGAGTAGCTCTTTTTTAGGGATATTCTGTGAACTCAGGGTTGCAAAAAAGTTTTACTTTTTCTGATTACTTTGTGTTCTTCATACTTCCAAGACAAGACAGCAGGAATGAGTTTTCATTATTTGTTAGCTTTTAAACTCATAAACTCATTTTTGTTCATTGTGTGCTTGCAAAAAAAAAAAAAAGCTTAAAGTGTTGGTTATGTGTCTGTGATGAGCTCCACAAATTAATATTTGGTTATTTTTTAAAACATTAATAATATAACTACAGAAATATCACTATTTTTGTGGTACTTTTAATATACAGATGTACTTTGAAACCATGATTAAGCAATTATTCATTTTTTAAATGAATATTTTAAAAATTAATCAATACAGCTGGGGGTACTTGATGTATTATTCTTAATTCAGTGGTGCTTTAAGAACACAGATTAGTTCAAGGAGATTTTGCTTCATTTAAGTACTCATGAACATGTGGTCTTTTAACTATGTCTCTCTTAGAACTTGATCCTATTTAAAAAACAGAAATATTTCACATCAGAAGATTGCTTGATTAAAAGTATTTATTTTGTTGCAGTTTAATGAGTGGAGTTAAAAATAATGTTGGCAGAGGAATAAATATGGCCTTGGTCAATGGTAAGTGACATTTTAAGTGGGCAGATTGTCTTAATTTTCAAATTGTTTCTGAAATTTAAGGTGAAATACTATGGGATGGTGAAAGGCAAGCACCAAGGAGTAAAGGAAGTACTCAGCTTATTTGTACTGAGATAATGTCAGATATTGGCACTGACACCTTGTTGTTACAAAGCAGAAAAACTCTGTGCGTTTTTGTTTCTAAAAATGGATTGTAAAAATAGTAATGTGGAATGTGGTGGTGACTGTCTTTTTGATACATCATATAAATTCCTAATGCAAAAATAGAAAAAGACATGAGATGCATGCTACTTCTTTTGACCTTGTGTATTGCCACCACTAATTATACTGTAGAATGCATTCTTCTGTTGCTCTGTTTCCAGTGAAACTTCTTTAGCATCTTTAACAGTTTTGTTACTACACACAAAGACCAGTTCATTATTTCCTCACTTGAATCAGTATATTTGGTCTATGGACTTTGTCCATAAATACATCCTGTTAAGTAATTGTGTTTTGGGTTTGTAATTTTCATTAAAACCAAACAAGTTTAGCTGTGTTACCTTGAAAGCTGGACTGAATGTCAGCACTGGTACATTTGTCTTTAATGTGTAGGAAATGATTCCTTGTAGCACTGAGATAACACTTTGTCATTTCACTGCAATATAAATTCCTTTTATTTGCAGATTGCACTCATATTTACACCATCTAAAGCATAATTTGAACAATACTTCCTAATCCTGTGTTGCTTTCCCGAATTGTCTCAATCTATTCAAAACCAAAATTCCTATGTTTGTATTTTATAGCTCCAGTCTTTCTCTCTGTCTTCCAAACTTTAAATGAATGTATATATTAAAAAAAACTCCACCTTCCATCAAATACTCCTTTGTAGACAGCATAATAAGAAAAGGTAATGAGATATACTATATTGTCTGCTTTTTTCTATTTATTCTGGATGTTAAAATCTAATTACAGTAGTAAGTCTATAGCAAAACATGGAATCTAATTTTAATCCTTGTAACTTTCCATATGGCACAAAAGGCAGCCTATAGCTATCAGTATATCTATTTTTGCAAAACCAGCTTTAAAAAAAGGCAGATATAATAACTGAATATTCTCTGTTGGTTTTAGAGCCTGTGGGTGTTTTCATTTGTTTGAGATTCCACTTGAAGCAAACCCAGAATTTTGCCTAGAATCATAGAACAGTCTGTGCTTGCAGGGACCTTTAAGCTCACCCAGTTCCAACCCCCTGCCATGGGCAGGGACACCTTGCACTAGACCAGGTTGCTTAAAGCTCTAACCAGCCTGGCATCCAACACTTCCATGGATCATCTCACTTTTTTCCTTTTATCTTTCCCTGCACTTTTTCACAAATCACTGCACTGTTTCCATAAAAGAGATGCTACCATAATTCATTTATCCAGTGTCTTTTGCAGCACTTTGTCTGAAAGAGCATAAGAGGAGTTGGGCATGTTATCTGTAAAATAATTTTGGCTATATTTGATGGCATCAAATGTTTCTTTTTCTCTTTTCCTTCAGGTAAAACAGGAGAATTATTAGATACTAAGTTCTTTGACATGTGGGGAGGAGGTAGGTGCAATTACACTGGTCAGAGAGAAACAGCAAATGTGCTTTTTTTCTTCCTTCTTGTCCAGACTCCATTTGCTGTGTGATATAGGGTGATAGTTAAGGGAGTGCTTCCCCTCTACCTTTGTAATTGTGAGAGTGCAACTTTAAAGAAACATAAGTAGTTGAGGTGGGAGGGAAGGGTGTGGTTAATCAAACAGACCTGTTCTCCAGGGTAGTTCTCATTAGTGGTTATGTCCTTACACAATAAGGATTAAACTCTTTCTATAAAATAAGAGTTCTCTGATGCATTTTAGCTTTCTCTCAGTCTGCAACTTTTTATAAAGATATATTTACAAATTTTATATATATTCTTTATATAAATATTATATATATATATATATATATATATTTACAAATATTCTTAAAAGTAATGTCTTTGCAGAAGGACATTGCAGATGTTTAAATATGTAATTATTGCTTATTATTAAACAGTTTTATTTCTCTTTTCAGATGTGGCACCACTTATTGAATTTCTGAAGACCATCCAGGATGGAACAATTGTGTTAATGGCAACATATGATGATGGTGCAACCAAGTATGTAATTGATTTTAAACAGCAAATGTTGCTTAAACTTTTATATGCTGTTTTATACTGAAAAAATAAATTATCACACAACCACTTTTAATAAGATTTTGTCCTTCCAAGATGACAGATTTGAAACTGCTTATTAGTTTTATAATGCAGATGTGGTTTGGGCACAACTAAAACTAAGCAGATATAGGTGTGCTGATTTTTCTATTGCTGTTGGCTCATTCTGTCTTAGGCTAGTAAATTCAGATAGATCCAGACATAGGAACATGATTATGAGAACATACTTTGGTTGAAAGCACTTTCTTCAGATCAACTCCAAGGCAGAGTTTGGTGGTTACAGGATGGCAGAGACCTTTCCCAACAAGCCTTGTCTGTATCCTTACATTCAAAGTCACAGAAGTTACTAATGTGAGCCTTGTATTTTTTGGCCTGAGTGTTTTACTGGTTCACCCTAAAGCTACTCAATTTATTAATCTAGATGTAGCCTAAGAGGGTTTAGGTCTCCTGAAAAATTGTCTTCCAACTTTCACAACTTGGGTCAGTTTCAATAGATACTAAAATTTACTGTTGAATATGCCCTACAATCTATTCCTCACTTAAGTCATCCTATCCAAAGGATTGCTTTTCACAGTGAAAATGGAAACTTCTTTCCTTTTTCTCTGTTATTTTACTAATAATTAACTTTTTTGTTAATGTAGTCTGTACATTTTTTTTCCTTGTTTTGTTCAATTTGTTGTCTACAACTTGTCTGTATTTTTGATATAGAAGCAGCTTTCCTAAGTTCTGACTTTGCAGTGTGCAATCTTTACAGTAAATAGTCCAGCGTGTTTACATTCACTGCTTTTAGGAAAGGAGAAAGTCATTTACTGGGGTATTAGCCAAGGTTGGACCTTCTCTCTGTTGTTCTGTTCACTTGTTTTGTTACTTTACATTTTGCCTTCTTCCCTTTCTTCTTCAATATTTTAGATAATAAGAAGGGTTAATTTTGCTTCAGTAAGCCTTTACAGCTGATGATTTTGAAAGTTTGTTTGCAGATACAACACAGCTAAACAAGAAGTTGGATTTGGCCTTGTCTTGCTGACAGACAGGATCTACTGCTTTCTGACAATACTACAACTACCACTGGTAGTTGATAGTAAACATAAATGCCAGTTCTTGGAAACAAAATTGTGAAGAATCAAGCTGCCCTAATGCTTGAGAAAGTTGGAGTGTGGGTTGGGCAAATAACCTGCACAGTATTTAATAACTTCCATAATTTTGGCTAAAGTGAGTCATTCAGCCATATCTCAATAGGTAGAAGTAATCAGAAGTTTTGTGTCTTGTTTAGTAATCAGGCACATTTAGTAAGTTCAAGGAAGAAATGAAGAGCTGCTATTTGGAGATTTTGGAATTATATCTATCCTACAAAGTTGTTTTCCTTTAGATGCTAAAATTATCCTACTGGAGTTTACAGGCACTGAGCCATGCTGGAGGCAGCATTCTGAATTTTGAATTAACTGCCCCAAGCAACAATGTTCACCTTAAAGGCTGACTTTTTTAGTTGCTTGGAGAACTGCTAACAGAACTTGAGATGTACAAATTCTCACAGGAGAGGGCTCTTGGCTTTTGTTGGTGTAGTGCTAGGTTTACATCCTGGTTCCTTGAGATTATAGTATGGAAGAGCAGCGTTCTTTGCATCAGGTGATTCCAGAACCAGCCATACCTGATTCTGAGAGATAGATCTTGCCCAATATTGACTGACTTAGAGTATATTAAATAGGATCAAAGCAGACTGGTGCACTGAGCAATGAAAGCTCTAAGGGCATGTATTTTATTCACATACTCTGGTTCACAAACTTCTCTGGTTTGTTCAAGGCTTAACGAGGAAGCACGGAGACTGATCGCTGAATTAGGAAGCACGTCCATCACTAACCTTGGCTTCAGGGACAACTGGGTCTTCTGTGGTGGGAAAGGAATTAAGACTAAAAGTCCGTTTGAACAGGTATGTGATTCTTTACCTTCCTGGAATTTAACAGCTTGCCTTAATAGAGGCATAGCATGTTTTATAAGTGCCATGCATTTGTTCAAGGTGGGTATCTATTGCAGTACTTGCACATAGTCTTATTTTCAGGTATTTTCCTTTTCCTCCTTTTAAACATACAAAAAAAAGATTCTTTGGTGACTCCTAAATAAGAAAAAAAAATATGATGTAGATCTTACTGTTCCAGTAACTAGATAATTCATCTTTTTAGTGAATCAAATTAACCTGAAGAATTCAAAGCTTGCTGCCCAAGTTTTATTCTATTTTAGATGCACTAAGAATGGTGAACTTCCAAGAGATAGGTGGGTAGTTAAGGTGTTGGTGTTCCCAGCTGTTAGCTTTGCTCTTCTCTCAAATTACTGCCATCACAAAATTTGTGAAATAGAATATATTCCCATATTTTAGCTGTTACAATTCAGCATGTGTCAGTGTTGCCTTTAATCACTGGTAGAAATAGTTTTGTACTAGCAGAGTAAGGATGTGTTTTCTTCTGCCAGCTATGTAAGGCAGGGGAAACTAAGTGCAGAAACAGTGGCAGACCCTTGGAGGCAATAATGTCTTACCTGACTGTAGATGGTTGTTTGGTGGACAAATAAAATGTTCTTTGAAATCTCACTATTTGTTTTCATTGCCTTGTAAATTTAGTATCCTTATTTATTTTTACCTAGTGGTTCATGCTTTAGTGCAGTTGGTCATTTCCTTCCTTCTCTCTTCCTAAGCAAACATCTATAATAAAATTTCAAAATGTTTTCCCCGTGTGGCTTAACTTTTTACCATACACTTGTCTGGGCAAGTTACTTTAAATGGTGAATACTTACAGATTGTTATGTTTGATTCAAAGCATAGTTAATAATAATTAACTAATTAACTAATAATTAACTAATTCAAAGCATAGTTAATAATGTTTTTCTTTGTCCATGGCCTGAAAATAAGTACATGTCTTAAAGGTATGAGTTAAAGCAAAAGGATAAATGACTTCACATTAAAAGCAGATTGATATTTTCCATTTATAGCATATAAAGAATAACAAGGACACAAACAAGTATGAAGGCTGGCCAGAAGTTGTTGAGATGGAAGGCTGTATCCCTCAGAAGCAAGACTAAATGAAAACAGAAGAAAAGGAAAAAGACTATGGAAGACAATGCACTTTCTGCTATTATTAGAGAGAGGGCTATGAAGGAGACTGTACTGTAAAAAATATTTTTAAAGCATGCAGCCATCTTGTCAGTGTGTGCATGAGCACTGACATTTTGAATATTGGGATTATTTATTGCTGACACACATAGAAATTCTTTTTGTAAATAAGTCCAAAATAAAAGAAACATCCAATCATTTCTATGCAGGTTTCTTAAAAGCACAGTATTTAGTTTGCCTGTGGTAAATAATACTTGTAGATAACTGGCTAATAAATAACGTATGTGGACAATAAACAGATTGTGACAAATGTACTGTCCTCTTAACAGTGCAATGTTGCTGTGACTATGTAAACTTGGTGGAATATTGCAGATTTTAGTAATACATTAATAAGGAGCTTTAATTTTTTTATCCTCTGCCTTTTTAATGGCATCATCAATTTTTATTAAAACTATTTGGTTATTCTAATACCAAGTGCTCCAAAAGTTTATTTTGTAGTCCCCTATCAAAACTGAGTAATCAGTAAAGGAAAACTCCGTGATAGTGTAACACAGATATGCCATGAAAAGCACAAGAGATTTTTTTTCTATCTTTAGGGGATGAACTAAGGTAAATATGTAAATAGTATGTGTGATATTGAGAAGCAGCTTGGAAGAATTTGTACTTAACTTGAAAGTGTTTGCTTTATAAAAGGGACTGGCACATTAAACAGCAGTACTGTGGCTAAATTGTTCATTTTTTATTGCAGCTTTTGTACTGCTGCTTAACCATTGATTCTCCCTATGGCAGTTCAGCTGCAGTGGATGTGTGTAATGGAAGAGCTTCCTCTTTTGGTTCTAACATCAGGAATAAATTTCCCATCACAAAGAGAAAGCAGCCTGCCTTCTAGTGAGAGCTGTTTCAGGGTACACAGCTGTGCACCCTCACCACCTACAGTACTTCTCATGAGCTGAGGCAATCTCTTCTTCTGGAATGTCAGAGAGAGCAGTGTGTCTTGGGTTATGCAATGTGTGTAAATTTAACTGACAATGTTTCCTTCATCCTTTTTTTTAATGGAAAAAAGGGACCAAGTTTAAGTGGCCTTATTCTTTAGCTTATATCAGAGCTGTGTGAAGACCTTGCTTTCTTTCTAAACGTGTATTTCTTTTAAGTGGGGCCAGCTTGAACTTTTCCTGAAACTAAATTATACCATACTAACTGATTGTATCCATGTTCACAAAATTAGCTGACACAGAACTGGCTGTAATCTCCTGCAGCTTTGTGTTATGAATTCTGGTATATTCCTCAAAAACCTCAAGCTAGTACTATGGGGCAAAAGCCACAAAGTATTTTTCAGGAGCCCACAGTGAGTTTGACAGAGGCATTGGAAATAGTATTATTGTTGATGTTTTCTGAGTCAAATTCTGTGCACTAAAATTTTCAAGCAATATTGCGGATGACCTTGTAAGAAAAATAAATAATCTCTGCTATCAGGGTAAGACTGGATTCTGAGTTGTTCTCTGTGTTTAACTAGCTTTTTAAATAATGTGGATTTCCCTTAATATTAATGTGAAATATCTATAAATGCACCTGACACAGTGCAACTGCTTTTGTTAAATCTTCCAGATTTTCCAGTAGAAGGATGTGTTAAAATCATATGTATTCTTTCATTGAAGTAAAATCCCCTTTTCTAATCAGCTTGAAATTCTGTTTCATTACTGAAGGCTGTAGTGAAAAAGTAATTGTGTAATTCCTGGAATTTTCACAAAAAATCAGTTCTGCTGTTGTGTATGCCAGTATTGGCTATGCTGCTATCCAGAATAATACCAAAACAATTTTGAAGTTACTCAGCAGGGTTTTAAGAGGAAGAAACCCTCTTTGGCTGCATTAGTAGTTTCCCTGGACTACATTTGTCTTCATTATTATGGCTTTGAATGCCAGTGAATATTTCATCTTTCTTCAAATTAAAATTAAAATTTCCTCTGCAAAATTAAGAGGAGAATGTGTGCCTTTATTAGCAGTCTAAGCTGAGTAATGATACCGTGATTCTCTTAACCCCTTAAAGCTGTACCTGCAACAAACTTTTTAAACAATGTATTTTAAAACAGTGAAATGGTAGAATTCTTTTTGTTGGATTTTAAATAATTTGAGTCTTAAAATTTTGATGGAAATCTTCCTCTTACTCTGTAAGCCATGTCCTCAAAGCTGTATGGTATTGTATTTAATGAGACTCTTGCCAGATATTTAGAAGTTGTACTGGAGTGGCCACACAAATGGGATGTCCTGGCTTTTCTCCATCATCATGCTCCAGTGACTTGCTGTAAGATCTGGTCCTGCCTTCTCTGCCTTGAGTGAGCAAGTTACAGTATCCTGCTGCTGAGATGAACTCTCTGAAATCAGTGGGACTTTCTGGTAATCCATCTGCATTTCATTTTGAGTTGCCAAGCACAAGATGACTATTCTGGCCTCTCTCCAGCTGGGGGTAGGAAATCAGTTGCAATGATGGTACAGGTGGACAAATACCTGTGTGTGACAAAGCTCTAGGAGCCACATTTTCCTATATGGAAACACAGGTGATGGGAACATGTGTAGCATCTTGCAGGCTTGTTGAGAACAGAGCAGTAAGGGAAGAGAAAGGTTGTGAGGTATGTCTGCCATGAAAAGTAGAACTGTGAGAAGAGAGGAGGAAGGACACAAGAAGGTTTCAACTTAATCTTCAGCAAGGAATACCCAGCTGGGATTCAAGGCACCTGAAGATGACTTCAATGTAAATCACAGCTCTCAACTGCTTTACTAGTGGTGTTTCATATGGATTAATAGGAGTCCTAAAAAAGAAACTGAAGGAGGTCTCTGCCTTGATGTACCCTCTGCACCTTCCCTAGTGTCTTTCATGATCCAGCTTTTTTTTATTTTTTTTCCCTCTGGGAAAAGCAGACACTTCTACAGCCTTAGTTTCCTGATTGTCACTTTGGAAAAAGCTTTATTTTGCTCAGCATGTTTTGCTTTCTAGACGTCTTACTGTGGCACTTAGTTTCCTCAAACATGGAATTGACTGCTAAATGCTTGGTGTGTATGTAATGTCTCGTGAACTGTTTGGGTTTTCTGCAGTCTGAGTGTTTTTCAAGAATGAGTGTATTAATAAGAGGCCAGGTGGGTAATTTCAAAAGGGGAAAGAATTAATACTGCCACTGTAAGTGCTGACTGCTCTGTAAGGATGGGAAGGGCTGCAGTGCCTCCCTAATTGACTTGGATCATGGCTAAGGTGGATGCTAAGCAAAGGACTTTTTATTGATGAAATCCTCTTCAGTTTTAAGGCCACACCCTAGCCTGAATGCAAGGGGCCTGTTAAAGAAACTTGAAGGAACCTGTAAGGCTGGATGGGAACTTGGAGGCTGAAGCAGGAAAGTGTGAGAACAGCTCTTGACGTGTTCAGTGGTATCATGAAGTGTCAGTGGCTCCTGATGCTGTACAAGGGATGCAAGTGATGTTGTCTCTCAGCCTCTGAGCACCAGGCCAGCAGGGCACAAAATCCTGAGCTTCAGCCACACCCTGCTCCTGGCTCCCTGGGGGCTGAGAAAGTGAACAATGGCAAGAGAGAACATGCTCTACTTGAGATGCTTCTTTGCATTTCTGATAGCATTAAAGCCACTTTAGTTCCTCCTTGCTGCCTCTGTTGTTATCCCTTTCAAGGTTACAAAGATCTGAGGCATCCTTCATAGGCTCAGGTTGAAACAGATTCCTCAGACATCATTTCCTGTGCTTAACTGTCCATCTAGGTGGGTTGGCTCATGTGCTGTCCCCATCTTCTTAGCTGAAAATAATTACTTTTTAGCAAGTTAAAAATGGATGACTGTCCACTTCGGTAACTTTTTACGTTCTTCCTTGCCCTATGTTCTCTCCAGAACACTCAAACCAGTTCCTTTAATCTTGTATTTCAGTTGCTATAATCTCTAAGTCTGTAATCACCTGTTGCCTCAGAAAGGTCTGCTCTTTTCTGAGGCTGTTGTCCATAGCATGATATAGCTACAGGCTCATGTAAAGACATGAAGAAAGGCAGTCCAGACTGAGGAGGAATCATGACTCCTCTTTGTGCTTGAGGGGTGGCAGTGGAAGAGAGTGCTACCTTCTGTGGAACATAGCTTGCAGATGTTTTTGCTTACCAAATACTACATCAATCTTCTCTAATTATCCTTTTCAGCATTGAATGTTTAGCATTTTTTTATCAGTACAGTCTCAAGTTCCCACATCTTTGCACCCCATTGAAAAACTTGGTGGATTTCTTGATTTATGTCTTAGTTCTCATAGATGCCTCAAAAGGACCTAACCCACCACATATATAACTACACCTTCTGTGAAGTTTTGTAGTATATTAATAAAATGAACATCATCTGTTTATTGTCATTTGAAGTATGCAGGTATGAAAACTCTTGTTTCAGGTAATTAGAATATATAGGGAGAGAGTCAAGGATCAGCAGAGAGCACTGTAATGGTCCAACTACATTGTCTGCTATGTAAAAAGCATGGAAATCACTCCAACCTCTGGAAAGTTTCTGATCCCTGGAGGCAGCCAAAGCAGCTGCTTAATTCTCTTTCTCCTGCTGATCTTGCAATCAATGAACAGAAAAAAACCCCAAAACAAAACAAAAACCAAAACAACAAACTACTGAGTTTAAATAATATTTTAAGGGTATTTTAGGTGTCAAAATTGTATCATTCTAAGTATGGTCTCAGCAGAGAGTATGGTTTGTTCTGTCAGGACTTAGTGCTGTTTAGTCATCTCCCATCCATGCTGCCAGTCGGTCCTGTGGCACAGCTTGAGGAGTCTGTGGGTTTATTTTCACTGCTGAAACAACCTGGGCTCACAACTCTCTCTTCAGGGTCTTCCAGTGTGATATGTCCTCCCTATCCAAGTTTCCTATCCAAGAGAAGGTGTTGAACCCTCCTGTGGCAGTGCCTTACTGGCATGCTGAGCACCCTTCCCCACAGACAGCAGATTTTTCTGTGGTCCCAAGATAATAATTTGGTCAGGCCAATGGAGATGGACTGGCCAAATGTGGAGTAAAGTTCCAATTAGCAGATAATGGACTTCATTGTTCCTGAACTGATGTTCCTAAAATAACCCACATAAGGCTGTGAAATACCACAACACAAAAGATTTTGTTTCCTTCCTCCTGACTTACACATCCAATAAAGAGTGACAGTTCAGAATCTGGTCACCATCTTTCCTGGGAAAATGACTGATGACTAGGAAATGAATTCTTCAAAGTAACTTTGAAAGCCTCAGCCAAACTGTCCGAAGTTTCTAATAGCTGGCTGTTAGTATGGAAGAAGTTAAGGGATTGCAAACCCTTCCAAATTCCCTGGATTTCAGTGGGAGTACTTACTCTGAAGCTGGGATTTCAGTGTTTGTAAAATGCATTTAAGAGAATAATAAAAAAGAAAGTATGCAGAATACTAATTAATTGACCTTTTAGAAAATCGTAGTGTTTCTCATCAGTGTGTATGAACTGCAATAGTTACAACCACCCTGGTGATAAAAACTCTAACATTTATGCAGTTCTCTGAGTAATTTCCCCCAGCACATGCAAACAAAATTCAATTGAAGGTTACTACAATATTAACAAATATCTAACCAACAAATCTCAAGGGCTATAGTCTTATCACAATAGTTGTGGAAACATTTTACATAACTTGCATAATTTAAATATTTACAAAATATAAACTTTCTTGTCTTATCAAAAATAGTTCTTTGCACAATTAAACAACAGTAATCCTTTCACATGATGCTTTTTAAGCCAGGAATTAAATCACTGCATAAAAATAAACCCCCTTTCACAGATGTATAATAAAATTAAGTCAACATATGGAGACAGAGAAAGTGTAATCATTAACAGTTTAAATATTTTAGTGGTGTGAGCCAATCCATAAATTATATTGTGCATTGAACTTATTGAAGATGCAACCTAATGAAAAATTCTAGCTGCTGATTCTATAAAGAAAATCTATTTTAAAAATCCTTTTCATTATGGCAGATTCCTTTGGGCTAAATCTCATGTGGTTAATTTCTATAATGATGGTGAACCACCAGTGAGATGGTTGAATGTGGCAGGTTATTGCATAGAATTCAAGAGTGGGGTGACAACCAGCTGTGTTGTAGTGTGCTATGTTAGTTTGTTCAATTACAGCTGATTCGCAAAATATGTGCTCAGATACTCAGGAAATGCCTGCAGAGGGTTTTATTTCCTTCAAATATCAAACTATATTTCTGTCCCCTCTCAGGCCTGTCCCTTGTGTATTTGAAGGACAACCTTTTAAAAATCCTGAGGTTGCTGTTTGGTGCCCCATTCACATTCGCCAATCTGTGCTCGTGCCTCTCTCCCCTGGGCACAGCTTGACCCTCCTTTTCCAGGCAGACACTGCTGAGCTCTCTGCAGTCACACACATTCCTCATTCCCAATGCTTTTCTGCACATTTTGCAGGAGGCAGTTTTGTGAACGGCTGCAAAGCAAATGCTTCTTGCTCAACAGCTGAACTCTTTCCCTATCTTTGTGGGTCTTTCTGAAGTCTGCAGAAATGAACTGTCTAGTCCCAGTTTTAAAAGCACAGACATAAGGACTTTGTCTAATGTGTTTTACAAACTCTCTTGACTCTTCAGTCTCTGGCTAATGAGATCTTGAGATTTCTCCACTGCGCCTACCCACCACACACGGATCTTCAGGACATAGTGTCTATTAAATACTTGAGAAGTTTAGCATCTGTCTTTGCTCATGGAGTAACACGTTCAAATGTGTCATCAGGAGTCCTTTTTGGTGTTTAAGCTGTCCCTGCATGCAGCCTGATGTTTACTCAGCTGTCCTTTCAGTCGAGGCTCGCTTGGACTGCCCGTGGTGTGGCAGTACCTGTGCCCCTGAGGCCGATCCTCTGAAATCCCGCATGGTGACAGTGGCTGCTGCCCCCGTGCCAGGAGCAGTGTGCAGCACGCAGGCTGGCTGCTCTGGCCGTGTTTCCTGCACTCCAGCTCACTTGCAGGTGTGCACGTCGGTCATGGTCTCGCACCTCCTGCAGCGCACGTAGCAGCACCAGACGAACTTGCACTCGCAGCGCTCCACGTGCCGCACGACGTGCGTGTTGTACCCGCGCCCGCAGCACAGCAGGTTGCAGCCCTCGGGGCCCTGCGACGTGCGGTTGCACTCCCTGCCCTGAGTGCCAGGGATCCCCAGTTTCTGGTCTTCCACGCAGTAATTGGGCGATTTGTTCACATACAGCAGGTCCTCTTTCCCAATTGGTATTTTTCTCTGGCTTTTCTCTTTCCTGCGTAGCTTTTTTTTCAGTCTGTCCGATATTTGTATGCTGTTTTCGTACTTCTCCTTTAAAAACCGGCCGATCTTTTCAAAGGATGACATGGTTTTCCAACAAGTTTTCACAGCACAGGACCCAGAAACACCATGACAACGGCAATCCACAGACATCAGCTTTGCTACAGCCTGAAAGCAAAGGGAGTACAACATTTGGATGTGCTCTTTCATTCATCAGGAATGCTGCCTGACAAAGGTCTCAAAGTATTTAATATTACAGCTGCCACTGCCATTTCCACAACAGGAAAGTCAGAGCACGTGTTAGGAACCAGGTTTCCAGCCCTGGACCCCCACTATGAGAGGCACGATCTTCAGACTTGCTTTTCATTTGCAGTTTGCAATGGCCATAATGTAGCAATATTGATCACAACAGTGATTTCTGGATGGCTTTTCATTCTGGAGGATCCTAAATACCTGAATGACATGTCCTCTGTTGCTCTTCCCACTGCTGGAATGCAAAAGGCTCTCATGGGCAAAAGGGTCTAGTGGGGAACAGCAGAAGGGGAAGGCAAGGATAGGGCAGGTCATGGCACCCTTCCTGTTTTGGAAGACACTGACTGGGCAAGTAAGTGTCCCGTTATGTTGCCTTTTAAGGGTACTTTACAGCTACCATGAAGATCACTGAACATTGACAACCCTGTGTGTACCCAAGGCCACAGGAATGGCTGGAGTCACACAGCAGTGCCTGGGCAGCCAGCGTGGCTCAGCACCCAAAGCAGCACGGGAGGAGGCGCCTTTGGGCAAACTGCTGGAAGAGCAGGAGGATGCCCACAGCTCCAGGCTTCACAGAAAGTCTGTCAAAAGACCCACCATGGCTTAGCAGAGGGGTCTTCGGCTCAGGTAATCTGTAGCAAATCTCAGGTGCTTCTCACTTATAGTCTTAAGGCCTGTTCTTTTAATTTAGACATAACTAGTTCTAGTATGAGTTCCTAGTGTTTCCAGTTTCATAATGGCTCCATTTAACACAACTATGCAGTTGCATTCATATTACTTTTATAACTGTCAATGTTTAGCAAGGCTTCACAGTTATTGCCAACACTTAAATTAAATTCTTGCCAACAATGAATACTTAAATACTTAGATGAGGTACTTTTCCATGCCTGTGCAGAAGGCCTGGGCTGAACAGTAACTGTCTGACCAACAATGGGAATCTGAAGCCTGTGTTGAGCTTTTTGTAACACGTAACAATTCTGGCTCAGTTTGTAGGATATCAAGCCTCAAATAACTGGAATCTGTAAACAAGCAGTAACCTCCTTTATCTTGAGACTGACTCAAACACTCAGGAGACAATCAATACAATACCTCCTTCTCGAACATCATACAAAATCCTACAATTAGTCTTGTGACAACTCTCTAATGACAAATACTAGAGTTTGTAAAAGGCACTGAAAAATCACACATGTGCAGATGTAGTACCAGATATCATAATTTTTGGTTTGTTTTACGTTTGCATTAACATTTTCTGGAGCCATCCTGTAAACTCATAAGGGCCATTGGTTAGTAGTGTGGAAAGCCCATGTTGCCATGTTCCATTTTACTAACCTTTCCTCCCATATTTAATTTCCACGATCAAAGTAATTGGGAAATTTACCAGTAAGTGTGGATTTTAAATTAACTCACAGTAAGTTTGTCTTGAAACTCCTCATGCATCAAGGCCAATGCATATTGAAATTAATCCTCTTTGAAGGAACCAGTTTTACCAAAACATGGGAAAAAAAAAAGAAATCAACACCCCAACTACATGATGTTTATTACATTTCATCCTGAGCCTTTGCTTATCCCTCAGCCTCCACATATACTATATACTAGCTGCTGTCAGTCTATGTCTTTCTGAAACTGAATTAAAAAAACAGAAGAAAAATCTAACATTCTCCCCTGGTTGCCCCTGAGAAAGTAGTTTCATTTGTGCCAGTTTCTAAGCCTTGATTCTGCAGTGAGATCTGACACCTGAAATCCTACCAAGCCCCACTGGCCCCCTGCAAGACCAGAAAAAACTCCAGCCCCAGACTCCATATTGGTAGCTCAGGAAGCACAAATGCCATCCTCAAAATTCCAAAACCAGTCAAGGCATACAGCAAATTAAATGAGCTATTTCTAATCTCTGTGCTAAACTGGGACTTTTCATCATGGTGCCTGTGGTCACTGAAGTTTGGGATGAGGCCAGCGTGGTTACTCCATTGGTTTCACTGGGCATTGAGGCCTCCTGGCACATTCTGCCCCAAAGGTGTTGACTCAATCTTGAGCTGGCATTTGCATAAAACTCTACAAACATTTAAAAAAAACCACATGACCAAAGTGTTTGCTTGGAGTCACATCTTTGGTGAATAAACAGGAATGATTCGTAGGTGGAGGTTACTGTGGAAGCCCTTTTTGGCTTCACAGTAAGCATTCACAAAAAGCATTAGCAAGGAAGAGCAGGCATGTGCCCTGACCAAGAACAGCCTTTACAAACTAAACCTGGCAAAGAGGCAATCCTGTACAGGAAATACTTCCACATGCTGTGGGCTGCTTTTGCAATTGGAGATTTTTCTCCACTACTGGAAAAAATAACAATATTGCAACAAGCAAACTCTCACCCATGAGCACACACAGACTCTTTTAGTGGCAAATCAACTGCTAGTTAATACTGGAAGATACTCACCATCTCTTCTACATAGACTAGTTTCTCTTTAATAGACACACTTGACCTTGCTCATATCTCAAGAATCTGTCAACAATGAAATCACTGGGTAGTCAGAACATGATTCATCAAGATGTAAGAGTGATTAGGGCAGATGAGAATTTAAAATACAAGGACAAAAAGTCTGTCAGAAGACAGATGACCTAATAAAATGTGAATATCAAACACAATATCAAAAGATAAATTTTACACACTACTTAAAAATAGAGAGGATTTAATAGCATTTTTCCAATTTTGAATAAGTTATTTTTATCAAGTAACTAGAATTTCAAAGTAGTTTAAAATCATATTGTGCTAGTAGATTTGTAAGGTTACAGATGTAATCCTCATTTTTGCTGCAATACAATAAGGTACTTACTAAGGGCAGAAGGATCCAGAAATTGTCAGAGGAAGCTCTGGACATGCCTGCTAGATGCTAAGGGCCATGTGGGCACGTAACCCAGCAGATGACACTCAGAGTCTTTCTCTGAGGATGAATGAAACAAAAGTAGAGGGAGACGGAGTTTCAAAACAGGAGCAGAAACTGACGTTGAATTCTAAGACTGATATCAGAATACAAAACTGGGGCATACATTAGCAGTGTATGAATGAACAGATGAATGAAAGAAACACAAATGTGATTCAGTGTCTTGCTTATCAGCTGCTATCATGGGCAAATTTTAAGCCTGGACTCCAATATGCTTCAAGTTGCCAGCACAGGGAGGTGACATTTTGCTTTGCCTGATCACAGAACATGCTACTGCAGAACATGCATCTCAGTCTGTCATTTGAACTTCAATGAAAAAGCTCCCATAATTGAACATCTGGCAAAATTTAGGGATTAGGCATCTCCTGATGGTGCAAGCAAACCTAAGATTGTACCTATAGAGCCAACATGGCCTTGAAGTGGGACACAGCTGCAGCACACACGTGTGTCTCAGCAGTGCACAGTGACTGCACAGTTACTGGGACCATGACCTCCAGACTGACTACACAACCAGTGTTCTGTTCCACATTTTAGGTTCATATCATGAATCTGTTCAGTTATTCATGAAATAGTGAGAGGATTCTCCATATGAAACAAAATTCCATGGAGAGCTTCAGAGGAGCACTGTCACAGACACCTGGTGGATGGATGTGTCATTCTGAGCAAGCTGGGACAGGCTTTCCTAGGTGGGCTATGGAACTGACTGATAGCTCGTGAGAAATGAGCAGGGTGGTGACTGAGCTGACCCACCAGCATTGTGGCGAGCCACAGACCCATCTGAGCAGCTCCTCCTGCCCCGATTGCCACTCAGCCTTGGTGGTACAGCACGCACAACAAGAGTGCAGGGCTAAGTGATGAACAGGGATGAACACTGCTGTTTTTTAAATTAAACCTGAAAGAAAGATCATTTTTAACTGCCTTCCCTTCATTGATCCAGTGCAATTAACAGAGGGAGCAGCACGGGGTGGGAATCTGTGGCCAGAACAGACAGATGGGGCAGAAAGCAGAGACTGATTTGCAGCAAAGAGTGTCAATGGAATCACAGTTTGCATACCCTCTAATGCCAGTTAATGCTTAACACATCCAAGCTGAGCTGTTTGCAGGCACTGCTCTCAGCTGTGAGACAAGGACTGCCAGTCCTTGTTTGTCACAGGAACCAATGCCTGTAATCAAATGTCCCAGTTTCAGACACTGCTAGAACTGATATGATTATGCATGAAGACGAGCACATGTCCTACCAGAGGTGCATCACTCAAGAACAGTTCCAAACTTGGTGAGTCTCTTACCAATCCACAAGCATCAGTAAAAACAAACTCTCCAAACAAGTCCCATATCAAATAAATTTCCACAAGTGGAAAGGTGAGCAGAATTTTTCCAGCAGTGAAATAATACTAATACAATGATAGTGAACCCATAGTGCCTGACTCCTCATATCCTTATGTATCAGGAGCAGAAGAGCCCAGCCCACATATGCACACCTAAGCACGCTGAAAATTGCCATGCTAAAGGATGATGAATGTTTCTCTTGTAGCAGAATAAGGATGCAATCTGAACATTCTGAGAGTTGGATTAGTGGACAACTCAAAAGACACACAGTTTTAGAATTTTTATAAGTTGATATGATAACTATGAGATGTGGAAATATAAAATAACATTCTGTACTGAAATAAGAGAGAAATAAGAAAATTCTGCACATACCAGTTCTCTTACTAGCTCCAAACAAACACAGAAGTACTGTCCCTGGAATACTGCTGTTGCAAGACACCAAACTAGGAACATGATAGTATTTATTACAAAAGGTCATAAGATATCAAAACATCCTTCTTGTAAGCCCCAAAACATGAAGACCAACATTTTCCAGCAACTGCTAGTTAAGATTTGAAAATACAAAAATGAAGAGTTATGCTAAACTTCAGATAATATTGCTGCTAGAAATCCCAACAACAAACATTTTTTTTATTCTGGACAGTGACCAAAATATTTGCTTTATCCTACATTTTGCCATTAAATTACAAAATATTTATGCACGGAAGCTGACTATATATATTTCTTCCTTAACTATCTCACTCTACAAATATGATAAACAACTCCTTGCTCTTCCCTTAAAGAAATATTAATTTTATGTTCTGTTCCTCTTATTAACATCCCCTCCAACAAGATACCAATCACCTTTCCTTGGAGGTGATTTAGCTGACTGACATCTAATTAAACTCATAGCTTTTAGATCTCATCTTTTACTTAGGTTTAAAGTTTGCTTCAACTACTTCAGTTACAAAAAAAGGGTCTCTGTCACCTGGAATCACGGAATGGTTTTGGTTGGAAGGAACCTGAAAGATTTTCTGCTTTTCCAACAACATATTTCATTAAATGAAAGAACACATATTACCTGTAAAAATTACTTCAAATAAAGTAATTTTCAATTATACCACCATGGCTCTTATGATGGCTTACTATGGCTATTCCCTGTCTATGGCAGATGGGAAAGTTGATTACAGTAATACACTGTAATACAACAATTACAGTTGATACACTGATGCTGCTTCCAGCTACAGGAAATTTCAGTGTCACAATGGGGTCCATCAATATGTGTAGTCAAAACCAGAGGTTTTCCCTTTCTTTTCTTCCCTTAGTTAAAGCTGTGTCACTGAGCAGAAGAGATTTAAAGTATTATGGGCCCAGAGAGAGCCGTTAAAGATGAAATCTCCAAGGTAAAGCAGAGAAAGTAATTTTAAAGTAAAACTAATACAAATCTCTGTTATTGCAGATGAAAGCACTAGATTACAGGCTCACATTCCCCTGTGAGGCTATTGCTGCCCCCATTTTACATCCTCTGCTGGACAGGAAGGAAAATCCAATGTCACACACCCAAACACACCATTTTCCTCTGCAAGCCTGGGTTGGAAGTTCTTTGGACTGAAAAAAGCCATCCAAAATCAGTCTCCTTTCACTTCTTTGATGCATGTCCTAACCAATGAGCTACTTTGAAGGTGTCATTTCCATTCCATGTTCTTAAAGAAAATATTAACTCTTGATTTCTCCTCTGAACAATGTTAAGCTTGCACTCTCAGGTGTGGACTGCAGACTACAAGATGAGTAATGAGGGCCTGTGGCCAGCTGGCCTTCTCATTCACTATTAGAGAGAATTATAAATGCAGGTCATGATAATAACAGAATAATCAGTGACAACAATCATATCATATTATGATGATAACAGCACTACTTCAAGTTTGTAACTGAATATCAAATGTCTAATTAGGAGAAATTTACTATTTAAGTACTACAGATCTATTACTTATTTTGTGGATTTTATTTCAACATACAGAAATTAGTTGGTGAAGACCAGCTCTGATTCTGAGTTTCTACATGTTTCTCTGGTGATGTTACTGCTGTTCTTGCCACTGCCCCACGAACACCTGCAGCCAAGGCCCCACCTCCCCTGGCTGGTGTCACTTTGCCAATGACAGTGATGGAGCGGCTGCTGCCACACCTGGGTGTCACCCACCTGCCTGCCGGCCTCGTTGTTGTGCAGGTCCATGGCCACCAGCCCGCTCCTGCCCGTCGCGTTCCTCAGAGGCGCGTCCAGGAACCTCCTGCTGAAGGACATTCCGTAGTGGATGTCGTCCGAGCAGCCGCCCCAGTGCCACCCCTCGCTGGCGGAGCCGCCGTGCCGCAGGGTGACATCGCAGGAGCACTCGGTGACGTTCCCCGCGCTGCAGGAGCGTGTCACCGAGTGCACCAGCCCTGCTGCGGTCACCGCCGACACGAACGCCGTCTCCTTCGTGCCTGCACAGCGAGGCAGGGACACGTTACCCCAGAACTGCCCCTGGTCACCCTCCTGGCACCCACACTCCACAACAGAGATCCACAAACCCCAGACTGACCCCTCACCCCATAATGGGATCACCAAACCCCAAACCGCCACCAAACCGCACGCCGGGACCCCAAACTGACCCCAAACCCCACACCGGGACCCCAAACTGACCCCAAACCCCACACGGGCTGCAGAAAGGGACTTTACAAGCCAGATGATTATTAAAAGTTAGTAACAGTCACAAGTTTAAAGTCATCACAGCTTGGTCTGTAGTGTGGACTTGCTCAAAGCAGTGGATGTTTTACCCCAACATGACTTCAGGACCTCTTGACATGGCCGTGCTATCAATAATGCTGTTTCTCAGTACTGGTACTGTCACAGACACCTTTTATGAAAAATCCTTCCCTTGGGATTTTTCCTCCTGAGAAGCTGAGAGGGCTCAGGAACAAAATGTAAACATTGATTATCTGCTGCTGTGGAATGCAATAGGTGGATTTTTGATTGGCCCATGTTGGTTATTTCTAATTAATGGCCAATCACAGTCAGCTGGCTCGGACAGAGAGTCCGAGCCACAAGCCTTTGTCATCATTCTTTCTTTTCTATTCTTAGCCAGCCTTCTGATGAAATCCTTTCTTCTATTCTTTTAGTATAGTTTTAATATAATATATATAATAAAATAATAAATCAAGCCTTCTGAATCATGGAGTCAGATCCTCGCCTCTTCCCTCATCCTAAGACCCCTGTGAACACCATCACATGGTACCATGCAATTTTTGATACCTTCTTTCTAAATCTGATTAGGAATTTTATTTGCCACAGAATTTTTCAAGCCAAGTAATAAATGAAGAATCAAACTCCAAACGAACCACATTCCAAACCCCTTACTTTTCACTCTGCTTTTCACTATTTATATTGATTTGAAGAAGAAAAGGTCAGTCTAAATCTCAGAGAAGCTGTCATGATCCCAGGTTACCTTGGTATAGGGCCAAAACTTACCTCATGCTAAATTTAGCAAACATTGATGTTCTTCTAATTCACAAAGGTTGCAAAGAGTCCCAAAAGTCTTAAACGAGGGAGAAATCAGCACAAAGATATTTTGGCCATGTGCTTTTCCTAGAAAAAGCTGGCCATGGGAAAGACAGCAGCATGAAAGGCCTTTACTTGTTAGACTGGCTCCTTAGGCCTGCCCCATTCTCTGAAACCTCTGGTATAATGTGGCACCCAGCCACATTTAACACTTACTGTGTAAGGCATACTCTAAGCAAATTGAATATAATTGAGTGGTCAATAAATGTAGCTGAAATTTTACTGAAATGGGCCAATTTTCACTGTTGTGAAAATTATTTATTTCCAGTCTCCAATGTTTCTGCTCATGGGCAGGGAAATTCCTGTTTGTTTCTCCTGTTTGTATTAGTCTGTGCTGCTGGTACCATCATAAAGGCTTCCACAGTGCACACTAGTGAAGCTGTGTGGGTGAGCAGTGGCACTCATTTATGGGTCCTCAGGAACAGTCCTTCCTGTTGAACAGAAGGACTAACACACACATGGCTCCATACAGTGGGGAAAACTCCCATTTTCTTTTTCTCCCCTTTCCTTTTTGGAATATGCATCACTTTTTATTCCTCACTTTATGTTTTCATGATTAAAACTTGAGGGTTTTACACTGCTTTAGTACAAAGATTGCATGAACACAAAGTGAAGTACTACAAAACTTAAAATCACATCCATCACACAATCAGTGACCAGGGAGCTAAAAAAAAAAAAAAGGTTGCAGGATCCTTGCAACTTGCAGGAAAGTTTTGGTGCGACATTTGATACAAAAAGCTTCATCCTCGTTTAAATGGAAATTCCAGCATAAAATTCCAGCAAAATAAGGACCTTTGGTTTCACTGTGCTGATCATTATCACATAACTGAGCACATATCATATATTTTAAAGCATTTCACATTGTATTTAGTGCCCTGAGCAGACATTTTTACCTGCAAGTGATCTTTCTTAAATGATATGTTATAAGCCCGCTTATTTAGTAACTATGACACGAGGGGATAAACCCAACGTAAGTCTGAGAACAACGCTATTTCAAACAGTTAAATGGATCTACCCACGGGCAGCATCACCCACGGATGTACTACGCGAAAACTACAAGCAGCAACAGCAGCGTTGCGATGACAAGCGCAGGTTTGGTCTGCTCGCTGCATTTCGTGTGCCCGCGGTACCTCCGGGACGGCGGCGGGCACCTCCCTGCCCGCCTGTGCCCGTTTGTGCCCTTCTGTGCCCGTTTGTGCCCGTCTGTGCCCTTCTGTGCCCGTTTGTGCCCGGCTGTGCCGACGGACGCACGGACGGTCCCCGCGTCCCATTCCCGGATGCAGCCCGGTCCCGGTCCCGGTCCCGGCCCCGCCGAGCGGCAGCGCTCCCTGCGGCGCTCCCCGGGGCGGCGGTCGGTGCCTCGGTCGCTCACTCACCGCTGCTGAGCTGCTGCCCGGTGCCGGCGGTGCCGGCGGGGCCGCGGCGGGCGGCGGGCGGCGAGCGGCAGTCCCAGCGCTCGTGTCGGAACTGGCTGCGGCACTCCTGCAGCCCCAGGCGCGCTCCCTCCCGGACCGCGGGCATCAGCTCCGGCTTCTGCTCGCACAGCTCCTGCTGCCGGCGGCTCAGCGGAGGGCTGGCGCAGCCCGGCCTCTCGGGCCCGCCGGCGGCCGCGATGCCCAGCCACCTGCGGAGGCAGCGGCCCGTCAGCGCCGGCCCCGACGGACTCGAGGGGACGGGGACGGGCTCGGCGCGGCCTCCCACCCGGACCCCCGCTACTCACATCCAGGTGCTGCCGGCGGCGGGGCACAGGGCGAGCAGCAGCGCCGCCCGCAGCAGGCTCGGTGCGAGCGGAGCCCCGCGCCCCATGGCAGCCGCATCCAGCCCCGCGGCCAGCACGGACCCGGGGGGACCGTACCCAGGGGCACCCCTACTCGGGCTCGGCCCCCTCCAGGGACAGGGGACAGCTGGCGCGGCGAGCCCGGCCCGTCGGACGGCCCTGCTGGGGAGGCTGGGCTGGCAGGGAGGGCGGCGGGAGGGGACACATCGGGAGCGCTCCGTTCCCGTCAAGGTGAGAAAGTTGGGATTGATGTTTTCCCCGGCTCCTTCCCCGGCTGTGCCTCCCCGCCCGTGCATTGGCCGCCCGCGGGCCGGGGCGGGCCGGGGCGGGCCGGGGCGGGCCGGGCGGGGGCTCCGCTGCACAAAGCGCGGCCCCGCACGGCTCCGCACGGCTCCGCACGGCCGCGCCTCCGCGGTGCTGCCTCTTGAGCCGTGAGGGCCCAGAGCGGCTGCGAGGGCGCAGCGGGGTCCGGGCACAGCAGAGCGGAACTGAGGCAAAGGAACCCCCGTAGGTCTGCAGAGATTTAATCCACAGAAATGAGAGAGATGTTAACCCGTCATAACATTCCCTACACTTTTTATTCCAATCTTCCTATGCTTTAGCAGTGTTAACTGAGTCAGTATTCATTAGGGCAGCATTTGTTCACTCCTGTTAACTCCAGTGAGACAGTCTTATCAACTTCTACCTCGATTGCTAGTCCTCAGTTACACATTAAAAGCCAATGAGTCAGCTGGCACCTGATGGAGAGCTGCTCTTGGCACTCTGGACCTTTCGAGTCCTCTTTGATCACAATATATTGCTGCTTCCTTCTGTGTAAGCAAAACACCTGCACTAAAAATAATCTGGATAAAATGACAGATCTGTAAAACTTTGATTTGACACAGTTGTAAATTAGTGAAGTAGCTCTTGTGGACTGACAATAGCTCCAAGTGAAGAACACAATAAATCATCTCAATGACAAATGAACTTTTTTATGAGTACATCTTGGGAAATAATCACGTAGATGTGCTGTTTTCCCTTGCCTTTTTTCCCCATGAACGTGCAGAGATGTTTTAAGAGCACAGTCTGTGGTCTATAGATCTAGAAAATGATGCCTCCTTCCCACTTCATGCTTATGTATCTGCTCTCAGCCTCTCCAAAGCATCATCAACTTTGGGCAGATTGCTCATGACCCCACTAGTTATTTAAACCTTTCAATATAACTTATTTTCGCTGTTCTGAATTTTACTCTAGAGAACATCTGCTTGTGGTTGCAGAGGAACTTAGACCAGAGTGAGGGACATTGGAAAACAGGGAACCAGCCATGAAACAGGCCTGAACCAGCCAAAATGCGTGGGCTGTGTCAGAGAATTATCTAATTATTCCAGGACACATGGTTCATTTTATCCTCTCTGCTGCTTCCTGGCTCCATCTTCTAAAGTTAATTCAGAGCCTTGGTCTAGCAGACTTGGATTCCTTATGTGCTGTTTTATCTCCTCTATGAATTTGTCACCCACTCTGAAATTATTTTTTCCTGCAGGTTCTTTAAACAAGTTTCTTCTCTGTGGTTGTTTGTTTTTATTTTGTTGTTGCTGGGTTTTTTTTTTTAATTTATTAAAATTATCATAGTTCTTTTGGTTCTAAATTCTTGTATGTGAATTTTTCTATGGTAGCTACAGAACTTTATATACAAATAGCAATGTAAGACTTAAATTTTAAAACTACTGATTTCAAAAAGTCCAATCTTACTTGCAGCATTTCATATATGGCCCCTTAAATAAATAAATTACCTTTCTGTTGGGTTCTCATGGGGATCTGATTTTATGTACATTTTTTGCCACAATCGTCTCTGCCTAGTTAGGGAAACCCTTTGATTGCATACACTGTACAGTGAAATACTTGCAATTTGGAGGGCTGATGCTAAAGAAAAAGTAATATTTATTGTAAGGGAGTTTTGAGATCATCCAGTTCAATCTCTAGGAGTGACTGGAAGCAAACTACATTTTTCCATGACCATCTGATTTTAAAAAGTTTGGGTTTCAATGTGTTTGAACCCCAATCTCCCATCTGCCTTCCTTCCCATCTGTTTCCCTTGCAGCCGCTCCCCGTTTGCTGTCACAGCCGGGCTCCCAGCAGATCCCCCCCATCCTCTGCCCTGCTGAGCTTTAGCCTCCTGCCTGCTCTTTGCACCGTCTCTGCTGTATTCCCTCAGCAGCACTCCTCCCAGGCAAGGGCAGCAGGTACAGCAGTGTTCCTGCAGTCTGGAGCCCTGTGTCTGCATGCAGGTGAGCTGGCTACCAGGAGCAGAAGGGCAAACACTTTGCCTTGCACGGTGTGTGCTTTGCAAATTGGCAAAGGGAAACAATTTAGAAATGCCTCGCTGATCTACCAAAATTTATTGTAATTTGTCAAATGTTTCTGAAGGCTGAAATTCTAACTAGCTGATGCTTCAGAGGCCTCTCTGCTAGAAGGCCATTCGCTCCATCACAGACAGCAACATGAGTGGGATGCAGAGACAGTGAAGCAGAATTCGTGCCAAGGTCAAGTGCCAAAATTCAGTGGGAAAACCTTACTATAAATCAGGGAAGATAAATTTTACTTTCTGCTTATCTTGCTTTCTCTGGCCATGGTGGGGCTTTCTGTGGCCATTCATACTAAAATGCCCACATTTTTTATTTTAAAAAAGAAGAAAATCAAATGTCGATAAAAGAAAAAAACGCTTTGAAAGCTTTGTTCAAATTATTATTCTTCTCCTGGAGCTTCTGGTGCCCATCAGAGACATGAATAGAACACAACAAACTGCATTATCCTACCTGTGCATACAATGGGGTCATTACCCCCTTATCTTATAAAAATGAACAGAGGAAAACCTATATCAGGTTACACCTTCAGCTAAGATTTTTATCATGTGTGGTGGCCAAGCTCAAAATCTGTACTTCTAACACAGAAAGCACGCTCTGAACACCCCTCAGAGCTTGGCTGCACGATGTGCCACCACTCTGGGAATGGCAGATGTGCCAGGTCTTTGCACTGAAGGAACATTGTTGGCAAGATAGTGCTACCCAAGCAGAGCCATTGCAGCACAGGGGCAGTGAGAGTGCTGCCCCTCAGTGAGAAGGGACATGAGGAGAGATGGGCAGAGTCCCTGGACTCCAGGGCAGGAATCCTTGTGCTGTTAGTGCAGTGCTCCCTCCCAGTGCAGCATCTCTCTGCCAGGGGATTGTCTGTAGAGAGCTCTCAGGACTTCAATAAGGTCAGGCTGGCAGTAGAAGGAAGTTAGTAGAGGAAAACAGAGATGCTCCTTCTGCCCTGCATGGCCTTCCAAGATCCCTCTGCCCCTTGTCCAGAGGTTTAGCATTGTTGCTGTTATTCATTTTAATATTTATACCTAAAAGCACACACTGTTGCTGATTCAGATGTAGCATGCTGAGTTCACAAATGACTGGGACAGCAATTAAAATGCATCCATCAGTGGCATGTTGTCAGATGGAGACTTCACAAACAGACCTCACAAACATGCAATGGTTCCAAAGCTACCCCTGAATGTTATGTTTATAGTAGGTGCACAAAACAGTACAGAGGACCAGATTTTCTATGTGCATAGAAAATATAATATATAGAATATATAGTAAAAAAGAGAGAATTAGTACCTGAAAGGTGAGGAAAGGATATACATGCTTCTCACAATCCCTTCTGTTATTGCCAAAGGATCCAGAAGAAAACTAGGCTTTCTGGAGCCCATAACTCCAGATAGTTGCTGAACCAATTGCTGAGCAGGTCTTTGGGCAGTCTGCATCTGCTGGTGATGTGCTGCCAGAAAGCTGGGGCTTAGGAAGAGAGGACTCAGCTTGACTTTAGAGTCTGATGTTTCAGACTCTAAATCTGGAGGCAGTGTCCTGGGCTTACCAATAATTACATGAGTGCTTGAGAATTGCTCATTTTTGGGGCAATCCTGGAACTAGGTATGGGTTTCTTCCGAAGTGCTGTTAGCAAATTCTGTTCTCAACATGGACCATCTAAATGTCTGTATTTTCTAGAGTTACCCCAGGGAGATATTTTCAGCCTACTGTTATTAAGTAAAATTCATCAAGGGAATGCTGCAAAGGCTCCAAAGTTTAATGTGAAAGATGTGGGAATAAAATCCACTTATTAATTTAGATTTCACCCAGACTTCGCTTAAAGCTAAAATTAGTAGTAAAATTGTATTTGATAACAGTGCCTCTGTATGGCATCAATGAATTTCCCTGGTTGTTTTGACTATGATGAGAAATGCTCTTGGACACAGAACACAATGAAAAAAGGAATTTTTCACTGACTTAATGTTCTCTTTGCACTTAAAGCAAAATAATTTAAAAATTTTAGTTTTTGTTTTTTAGATCAAGTGCACAAGATTAGAATCGGTGCTGCTGGCTGGTGTTGCAGAACTTCTAGAAGGTAAATGTGTTGTTTGGTGAAAAGAGTAGCTCAAGTACATGGAAGAATCCAAGTTACTTCAGTGCACAGGGGACATCTGGAGGTATTCCTTATTTAGTTTTAAACCAGACTCTCCTGAGGGTGTAATACCACTGCTTTGTTGATGTATCTGTAAGCTTCATACAGAATTTCCTGAGATAAGCAGGTACTCTGTGCGTGTGCTTATGCATGTTCCTGGTGTGCACAGAAGCAGCATGCTTGCTCCCAAAGAGGTCACTGAATTTTAGGTATAATACAGCTAGAGGAAGGAGGAAGAACTGCTCCCCTAGGAGCAGTGCTGCCTACAACACAGTTTATATTGATAAACTGTGGAATTATCTGGAACTGATAATTTGCATTAACACTTTCCATAGGACCCTTTCATAGATGAGTTTGTTACATCTCTTAATAGAGACATAATTCACACACACAGAACTGTTGCCATCCTGTGATGAGAGAAGTGACAATCAGGGAGATATTTAATTTTCTGGTGTCAGGGGGTCATCATCATCAAATCCATTATCAGGTCCTTGGTTTCTCACTGCTAATTCAATTTCTAATAAGCTACTTATTGTTTGAGTGAGGATAATGATAGAAA